GTGGGAGGGTGGGGAGAACAGCTTGTTCTTGGCCCCACATTAAACTCTCCACTCTGAGCGCTTTTGTCTCCACCCCTGTTGGGGCCAACACCACCACCCGCAGTCAGAACCTCAGCAGTCAGTCCCTCACTGAAATTCTGTGGAGGCCCTGCCATGTGCCAGGCCCCAGGGCTGGTGCTGGACATGGAGCCCATGCAAGGCCTCCACATACCCACCCACCCTTGCCTGAAGGAGGAGACCACGAGCAAACACACATTCCCACTGTGCCCAGTGATAAAATTCTCGACAAGGTTCCATCCCTCCTGATCTGCTGTGTCTGGGCTTCGATGGGAAGCCAGAAAACCAAGTCTGCCAGCTGTTGGTGCAAAATAAGAGAAAAGAGACTCAGAGCAGGGGGTTCAACAGTCATGGACAAGAACGTGCAGCTAGGAGTGCCCTGCGGAGAGTAGTGACATGGCTCTCCACCCCCACCATGCTTCCAAATGCCTCCTTTTCCCCGCAGTAAATGTCCCCAGGTCCCTTTCTTTTCCCTGTGTTAGTCCAGAGGCCTCTCTAATAATATGCACATTGAAGGGGCTTTGCTGCCTTTTGGGGACCCCTGAGCATAGGAAGCTGTGCCGGGCTTTGGAGGAGAGCCTGTGGAAGGCTGGGTCGTGCTCTAGCAGGCCTGGGGTTGGAGTCACCATGGCCTAGTCACCCTGCCTGGGCAGCATGGTGGTGTGTCCACCACAAGGCCCTGGTGGGGCTGCCCCTATGCCTTCAGCAAACACTGATCAGGCCCCTTCTGGGCTGGCCCTGGACCCTGAATGGTCAATATGGCCCATGGTCTTTTTGCCTAAAGACCTGTAACAGGCTAAAACAACCGAACCTAGTGAGAAGGCAGCCCTGTGCTGGGGCGGGCATGCGGGCCTTGGGGAAGTCCGTTGCTGAGTTCACAGTGCTCCCTCGGCCTCATAGACGGGCGGGCCTCAGTGGGCCCACCAGCGGCCGAGAAGGGACAGCCCAAGAGATGGTCAGGAGGTGGGGCCTGTGGACTGTGCTTACAATGTTCACCATGAAAGAAGGTTCTGGGGGATCTGAGCCGCAGCCTTCTGCCCTAACATTGTTGTCTCTGTACTGTACCTTCCATCTTTGCTCCTGGCCACACATATTTATGACGGCTGAACTTTTCTTTCACCTTTTTCCCTTATTTGTCTCAGAAGTTCAGGAAAAGCACACAGATTGCACTGCACCATGACCTGATTTTCTTACAAAAGCCAAATGTAAGAAATAGAGTCCTATTAGACTTACATCAAGCTGAAAAAGTCCCAGAGGAACTTCTTTTAGTGTGTTTTCTGAAAAATCCACATCCTTAAGGTGATTCTTCCAAAAGACAGCCATGTTTTCTGGCAGGGATTCCAGGGCATTTTTGGATGCTTTACAACATTTCTAGGAGTTTGATGAGAAAGAGAATGAATAGTAATTAGCTCTGTAAATGCTGCCTGCCCAGAAGTCTATTTCCAAATTTGATGTTAAAAATAAAGCTCTGTGATAAACATGATTCATTGTGGGTTAAGAGGCTGCAAACTCTCCTTGTCTCTGTGGTCCTGCCCCTGTTCCAAGGAAGGGACGGGAAA